AATCTATGCAGAAATAGAAGTACAATGATGTACACCTGAAATTTTTACGTCATAAACCAATGTTACTGCAATAAACAAAAAATTAAAAAAAAAAAGAGGTCCTGAGACCAAATGTTCGAGAACTGCTGCCTTAAGTACAGTTTGAAAACTTCCTTTGGGCAGTTCTAGCCTCACCCAAAGATGGATAAACCCTGACGAGTTCTTCCTAATCCCTTTCCCCTTTTATCATCTAGACCCCAAGTTTGACAATTGCCAAATGCCTCTGGTTCATTTCACATGAATGTACATTCCTGTCATGCTTTCCTAAGCAGAGTTTAGTCACTTTGATTAGATTTTTGGACTTTGGCATGCATGATTTGGTTTGCCAACGAACCAGGTCGCTCACCTGTAGCATATTCACAAACCAGCTGCTAGAGAGAGAGAGAGATCAACTGAAGCATCAGCAGCTGGGTTCTGCCAACTTTGGAAGACAAGCTCATTCCTTGCACTCTTTTGGAGGCCAACTATTCTACTCAATATATTTCTGATAATGAGATATAATTTTGTTATACAGGGCCAAAGAAAAATATAAAGTGTTAGAAACAATAGATCAAATAAAAGGGGGCTAGTATTTATTTACCACTTGCTCTAAGCCAAATACTCTTATATATGTTACTTCTTTTAATCCTCCCAACAACACTATGATATGGGCATTGTTATCCCCATTTTACAGATAAGGAGAGCAGGGTTAGAGAGCTGTTCTATAGCAGAGGAGGGAGGAAAGCCAGGCCTCAGTGACTCCAAAGACAGATTAATAGTCAGAGGATCTGGGTTGTGTCAATACTTTATGGTGGTGCTTTATGGAAATGGGGATAAAAACACCTCAAATAAGTCTTTCGAATTGCCTCAGACCAATGATTCTCAAAGTGTGGCCCCTGGGCCAGCAGTATCAGCATCCCTAGAAACTTGTTAAAAATGCAGATTCTCATGCCAGGCCAGTGGCGCAAGCAGTTAAGTGCGCGTGTTCTGCTGCGGCGGCCCGGGGTTCGCCAGTTCGGATCCCGGGTGCGCACAGACACACTGCTTGTCAAGCCATGCTGTGGCGGCATCTCATATACAGTAGAGGAAGATGGGCATGGATGTTAGCTCAGGGCCAATCTTCCTCAGCAAAAAAAGAGGAGGATTGGCATCAGATGTTAGCTCAGGGCTGATCTTCCTCTCACACACACACACAAATGCAGATTCTCAGGCCCCAATCTAGACCTGCAGAATAAGAAGCTTTGGGAGAAGCCAGGAAGTGAACGAAAAGGGCAGACTAACTGAACGGCTGCCAGGGTTGCTGTTTTCATCTATAAAGATGCTAAAATATCACAGAAATAAATTAGAAATATTGTGTCAGCTCAGATCTGCTCTTCTCTGGGGAAAAATTGATCTCCTATTCCATGCAGCTAATAAATTCTTTGTTATGAATTTGAACATGTGACAGGAAAATAATATTTTTTATGTATAATGTTCTGCTTCCTTCTAAGAAAGGCTGATCCTGGTAACCGGAAAAGTTTTTGCTTGCAAGGTACGAGCTCTGCTCCATTTGTCTAATGGCCTCTTACCTCCCTACTCTTCCCTAGATGCCTGAAGGACGGCAGTACAGATCTCTGAAAAATCTTATTCATGGATCATCTTAGATCAGGTTCCCTAGAAGCAGAGCCTGAGTTGGGGATTCTTGTGCAAATGATTTATTGAGGGAGCGCTCTCAGGAGAAGAGAAGCAGGTTAAGCAGCAGGGGAAGCTAACCAAGGATGTGGTCTCAAACAGACATTAGCTTCAGCCTGATCCCATGGGGAGCTCTGGAGCATGAATTTCACCATAGAGTTGGTCCTGCCTGGAGGGAAGGGAGCCAAGTTTTTGTACACCTCTCTACCAGTCACTCCTTGACTGAGGACTGCCAGTGGTGGAATAAGGATGAGAGTCTAACCTCCTGGACTAAGAGGTTCCTGGTGGCTAAGGGTAGCTCTTCAGAAAAAAGGGACAGCTGTGAGTCATAGGCAGGCAACCCTGACACAGGTGGGGGACGGGCAAACCCAGGTAAAAAAGGGATCTGAATGGGGCACCAACAGTATCTATTACATGGATCTTTTTTGGATCTCGGTTCATATCCTTGGATATCTGTATCATTCCCTGCCTCGAGTGTGAACTCCCCTCTCTATCTGTTGGCCTCACAGAACCATAGTCCTGGACCATCCAGCTTCCTATTCCCCACTCAGCCTATGAGGTAAATCAAATCAAGAGCCTACATTTGTAGGATCCCAGATGGTTTGCAGAGAGGTGTTGAATACATGCATTATCCCTCCCTATAAAATATATTTCTATCCGAGGAACATTTTGTTGTTATTTCCTATTTTTCTCTTTTGTAAAATGAAGGATAGTCTGGATTATTTCTAAATCTCGTTGTAGTTTAAAAATTCACTTGCCTGATGATTTTGCTCCAGAAGGCAGTTGTTGTGCTTGCATTTCCTCTGGGAATGGGTTTCACAAAAAAATTAATTAGAAACTAAGTCTGGTGTCATTGATATAAGTCAGGAACTATTAAAATTGTGAAAGGATTTAGTCCATATCAGAGAATTCACTTTCATTTGCTCTGGCCAAGATTCTTTTATCAATAATTGATATTAAATTTTCTGGACAATTATGGATGTCTGGATGAATTTCTTTAACATATTAAAGAACTGCAGAGTTAATCTCAAATTCCTGCTTCAGTGATCTGTGTCATGTATTTGCTACACGAAGATGGACAGATACTATCATTTCCATTGTGGAGTCTTAATGAAACTGTGGCAGAAACTGAGGCAAAACACCAAAACCATCACTGAAGTATCCTTATGTGTCTCATTTTAACCAAGTACAAGGTGATATTGAAAAAAATTGCTGATGTAAATAGTTGATGGTAGGGTCGCCCCTATCAGATACTGGCCCTTCGTGTGACTTAAAACAAAGCACCTAGGGGGCCGGCCCGGTGGCGCAAGTGGTTAAGTGCTCACACTCTGTTGCAGCGGCCCCGTGTTCGCCAGTTCGGATCCCGGGTGTGCACTGACGCACCGCTTGTCAAGCCATGCTGTGGTGGCATCCCATATAAAGTGGAGGAAGATGGGCATGGATGTTAGCCCAGGGCCAGTCTTCCTCAGCAAAAAGAGGAGGATTGGCAGATGTTAGCTCAGGGCCGATCTTCCTCACACACACACAAAGAAACACCTATTCAGGCTTATGAAATACTGAGAAGTATCCCCTCTGGGTGGACAACTTACAAAAAAGTCATTTTTGTAAGTCAGTATCTGGTGCGCCTGGTTGTAGGAGTCTGATCATTGTGACTTGACTGGTTTTCCATTCTTTGATATGACCTTTCATGTTTGTCAAAAGACATCAGTTCTACAAAATTAATGAGTGGTGCCATGTCTCAAGACATACCTCAACCATCTGCATAATCCAGACATTGATGAGCGCGTCCAAGACAAAAAGGCCCCCAAAATAATGTGTTCTGGATACCCTCTTTGTATGTATTCTTCTTTCGTTTTTAGCACATGAGAAGACTTGCCTTGGAACTTTGGCATTGAACCAAGGGGCCCCTGCCATTTTAACTGAGGTTCTAAGATCACTTGCTTGTGTAGGAGGTCTAATGTGGCATTACTATGCTAATCTGTGCAAATCTTTCTGCCTGGGTATTTTACAATAGTTAAATCATTAGCGTAATATCCATTAGAAATATCTGACATTGAATTATGTTTCTAAAATTCCTGGAAACTTATCACTGAAAAAAACCCAAACAACTGATAATTCTCCTGCAACATTGAAATCATTGCAGTGTAATCACTTGATGTTTTTACTTCCAATGTTACAGTGGAGAAAGCCTGGAAGAAAGGAACTCTTTGGTTAGTTATATTAATTAGGTGGATAGGATCTGTTATGTACACCAGAGACCCAAGAGTCATTGCTGAAGTTCTTGTTAATCTTTGTTGTTGCAGTAGTTACTAGGAAAGGCAATGAGAGGTGTAAGGGTTAAAAAAAAAAAAAGCAAGAGATAAAAATAGCTTTGGAAAACTTAGGGCTAAGTTTTCCTTCCCTGTTTTCTTTATTCCTGATAATATACATAATGTCTTAAGATGAAAAGTTAAGAAAGCAAATAAATTCCTACAAGTTTGGGTTGAGAAGGATGTTAAATTGTATGTACATAAAAAAGAAAGCTTTGGGACTTTTTGAGGGAAAGTGACTGCATTTTGGCAAGAAAATGATTACAAATTCTTTCTGATTGAGGGAAGATTATACCTTCCATTTGGTTCAAAAAGTAACTAGTAAAGAGATGAGAGCTCATTACCATGGGGGACCATTTAGGAAGTAGAAGGATACGCAGGATCATGTCCTTTGTATGAAGGTGGTTTAAGAGGGAGCCACTCTTTCTTTCTTAAGCGCTCCCAATAAATTACCATGGACATGAAAGTCACCTTTGATATTTACTAGAAAAATTGATTCTTTTCCTGTAACATTATAACATTACAAAACTTTTTTTCCCCTACAAAATATGTTTTATTGCATCTTGATTGCAAATCTAATTTGTAATTCGTCTCTTACTCATTTAATTCATAGCTGTCTGCTGAAGAATATGTCAACCAGCCTGGAAACATTCTTCGAAAAGTAGAGGTGGAATTAAAGGTAATTACTTGTTTTGTCCTCTGTAAAATACATTATTTTTTTAAAACTCCACTTATGTTATTTAACATTTTAACTAAAAAATTTCAAATTATAGCATAATAATTCAACAATACAAATTTTGGTCACCCATAAGAGACATCTAGCTTTCATTACATTATAATAATCTAGTAATGCAAATTTTTATTATTCTGAAGAAAAGTTGGAGGAAAAAGATGGGCTAAAATGTGGCATGTAGTGGATTTATGGAAATATCCAGTGTGTGGTATAAGTAGATGCATGATAAGTACAAACATGAAAAAATTCAGTTGCTCCTGCTGGAGTATTTGAACCTACGAAAATGTCACTCTCTACGGATCTTACATTCCTAGCTAGGTATCTGTGGTTTTACCACTTGTTCACAAAGGCTTCTTTAGGCTTATAACGTTAAGTATTCATTACAGAGAAGAGATGTGTGCTCTTGAATGACCCCCCCCTTCCCACAAATGACTGAAAGAAACTCTAGAGTTTGGGCACAGAGCTATTTTCTAAGAATTTCATCATTTGCCTCCATAAGTGAATGTCTGTCTACCTCATTTGCCTGAAAATCGTACTACATCAGCAAGATGGATCATTTGGCTTTCTTGTTGGTCCTGGGGGATATGAACACAGCCCACAGATCTACCAGCAGCTGACTCCCTGGTAAATGTTTACTTATAAATTAGTGTGGGTGATAATTTATTAAGGTAATAAGCATAGATTACATTTAATGGCTTAGACATTATGCATTATGAACACAGTATTTTATGTTTAGTTGAAGCAAATGTATGTGATTATTAATATGATACCCAAATGTAACTCTGAAATTATGAATTAGAGAGTTTAAACCAAGTCAAGCCATGTATTACAGTGCATCAGCACTTAAATTAAGGGCTTCAGGAAGGTTTCACGACGGCAAAGCAATATCATATTGTTCATCTATACCATGTATTGGAATTTATTTCTTAGATTTTCTTCTCCTTTCCTCACAAACTGACTCATTTTGTTACTGAAGAACATCGTTTCTTCTTAACAAGCATCATGGGATCAAAATTTTGGCTTCTGGAGCTGAGGTGAGTAATCTGTCAGCAGGGATACCATGACAGCCTGGCATGACACAACAAAGAAAGAGAAAGAAAGAAATGAGTAAACATTAGCAAGAGTCTGCTTAGGGACCTAGGGAAGGGGAACTGGGTTGCAGCTTTGAGGGCCTATGGTTAAAATGTGTTTTCCCAAGGAAATGATAAGGGGACAGTTCCGAACTAATATTTATTTTTATTTGGATAAAGGAAGGTCAAGAGGAATCAGGCTGACCCCAATATATACACAAACACCATGCTTACTTAGGCCACATTCCAGCACTAGTGGATGACAGAGTTGAATTGAGATACCATGGTGGTAGCCATGATTGGATTTTCCTGTTGTAAGTGAAACCTAGGTATTGGCTGGTTTTAGAGAAATATAATCCCTTCCTTCCTCGTGTTTACACTGTGGTTTAGTCACTTGTAACCTAGAGAAGTTTATAATAAATCAGATGTATAGTAATAAAAGTAAATTATTTGGGCTAACAAATAATGTCTATCTGAATCTGGGTGCTCGTGAAAGAATATTTATAACCAAGACTATAGCTTCCCATTAGGCTATCATCCACAAATGGTAATTTTCACTTTTACTCTTCCCAACTTCCACAATAATAACAATGGTAATAATATCAGAAACAATGATGATAAATGTTTATTTAGTGCTTACTATGTACCAGACTAAGTGCCTTACCATGTGTTTAGTCAGCTAAGAAATATTTCCCAGGCACTGTGCTAGGTGCTGCAGTAAGCTAGAGAGAAGTGCTTACGCATTATCTCATTTAATGCAAGAACCTTCTAAGGTAGCTTCTGTTATTATCATTTATAGATGAAGAAATCAATCCTGGAAACAACAGATAGTACAGAACTGAGTTTGGACCTGGGTTTCTCTGACTCCAGTCTTAAGAGGTAGTTTTACTAACTTTCAGGTACTTGCTCTTTCCTTTCAACCATACAATACATGAGTCCTTTGCCTGTAGAACTGCAAGTCTTATGTTTCAAAAGTGTCCATTGAAGGTATTTATTGAACATTTACCATGTGCTGGGCCCTGTGTGAATGCTTTATGTGTATCCTAGCATTTAATATCCTTTCCTACCGTGCGAGGTGGTAAGAGCTATAAAATACAGATGAGGAAACCAAGGCATAGGTATTTTCCTGAGTGCTGGTAGTAAGGGGTGGATCTGCACCTGCCTGTCTCTAGAGCTTGACCACTATGCTCAGATGACTGTCACCTCATTTAATCCTCACAACCTTATGAAGTTGTTTCTATTTTTATCCCCATTTTCATATGAATAAACTGGGCTTAGAGAAGTTATAGTCCTTGCCCAAGATCACAGAGAGAGCCAGAATTTTAACCTGATTTCCAAAGCCTGTTTTCTAGAATCAATACCCTATATTGCCTTCAGGCTACAAAAATGTATTGAGCACATATTGAGAGTATTGGTCAGGTGCCATTTGAGGTAGAGTGAAGAACATTACAGATAAGATCAATGTGCTTATGAAGGAGTTTTCATTATAGTGAGGGAGACAGGCAACAAACAAATAAGAAAATATCAAGTAGTGATAAATGTCCTTAGAGAATAAAATAAAATATGAGATAAAGGAGGCTGGGGAACTACTTAAGAGTGAGTGGCCAGGGAAGACCTTGTTAAAGGAATGACATTTAAGTTGAGATCTCAATGACGAGAAGAGGCCAGGAAGGCCAAACTCTGGGATAAGGGAACGTCTTCCAGGTAAACTATTTTAAGCTTTGTTATGGGTTCCTGAGACCGCATCTCAGGTTTTGTTTTTTTTTTTAATGGTCATTGCATGTGTCAAATTTATTTTCAAATGTAAAATCTTAAAAAATCAACTTGGTGTGGAGTTGCCATATTTAGTTAAATAAATTAAATACAGACAGTTAAATTGGCATTTCAGATAACATATTTTTTAACTCTAAGTATGTTCCAAATATTGCATGAGACATACCTATACTAAACAATTATTTGTTGTTTATCTGAAATTCCAATTTAACTGAGTGTCCTGTATCTTATCTGGCACCACTAACTTGGAGAGAAGAGACCGTAAAATACCATGAATTACATTCACAATGGTGTTGCGTATCTAAGGGTTATCCTGATAGCAGTGCTTTGAAGTGTCAGCTTTTTTGCAGGGTCCTTTTAGGTTACTTTAGGTCCACCCTAAAATTTGTAGGCAGAAGAAGAAACCCACCTGACTTTTTGTGAGTCCTACAGCCTTACTAATTATTGAAAAATACAAAAAGCAAGCTTTGTGGAGAGGAGAGGGTGTATTTTTTTTTTTTTTTCAAGAAAGGGATCCAAAGGCCTGTGCACTATGGAGAGAATGATGTGATTACTAGAGTATTCTGAACAGCAATGCTGGAAATCACCCAGCATGGAGGCCTTAAAAAGCTACTCTGGGGGGCTGGCCCAGTGGCATAGTGGTTGAGTTTGGCACGCTCCATTTCAGCAGCCTGTGTTCACGGGTTCAGATCCTGGGCACGGACCTACACCACTCATCAGCAATGCTGTGGTGGTGACCCACATACAAAATAGAGGAGGATTGGCAGAGATGTTAGCTCAGGGTAAATCCTCCTCAAGCAAAAAAAAAGGAAGATTGGCAACAGATGTTAGCTCAGGGCAACTTTTCCTCTGGAAAAAAAAAAAAGCTACTCAGTGCTAAAACAATATGCTTCTGCTTTAAAAATGTTATATACTTTTAGAATAAGCTCTTCACCCTCTTTAGCTATATACCTTACATCAGTCATTATGGGCATCTCAGAACTTGATAGATTTTTTCCTTCTTCTATCCTAATTTTAAATGAAATTGTGTTTGTAGAAATCATTCTCTAGACAGTAGCACTGTCCAGTAGAACTTTCTGCAATGATGGAAATATTCTATGTATTTGCTGTCAGAAACAAATAGTATAGCTACCAGACATATATGGTAATTGAGCACTTAAAATGTGGTTAGTATGTCTGAGGAATTGAATCTTAAATTTTATTGTATTTTAGATGTTAGCTCAGGGCCGGTCTTCCTCAGCAAAAAGAGGAGGATTGGCATGGATGTTAGCTCAGGGCTGATCTTCCTCACAAAAAAAAAAAACAAAAAATTTTATTGTATTTTAATTAGTTTAAGTTTACGTTTAAATAGCCACATGCCCCTAGTGGCTACTGTACTGGATAGGGAAGTTCTAGAAGAAAACAAGTATTGTGCCTTTAGAGCATACCAGAAAAAATTATCAAAACAGTGCTGAGCCTAACAGCCATTCTAAATAAGCTAAGAATAATTTATTTCCCTATAAAATAGGAATTTAGACTAGACAATCTCTAAGGTCTCATCCCACTTGAAACTATGCTTCTGTGAATTGTACAGGCTGTGTGGGGACTGCACAATATTCATTTTTTAAATCTCCAATGCCTGGCAGAGGGCCTTGCACACAGTAGATGTTCAGTATATGATTACTGAAATGAACTTAACTCAATGGGACCACCAAATCATCTAGCTCAGAGACATAAAGAGTGCAGCACATGTGTCACCACCTTCCTTCCAGAATACATGGCAAGTATTACTAGTCAGTTATGCCACTCTTTCTATCCGAGACCACAGGCAGGCTTAGAACCTTCAGAACATAGGATTCCAAATAGCCTGTTGATGAGATTGACGACCTAAGATTAAAACTCATTTGCCATCCATATAGCTTGATCTGCTTATTTTATATGTGAGGAAACTGGAACCTAGAGAGGTAATGCTTATCCAAGATGACACACGTAACTAGTATTAAAGACAGTTGTAGAATTGAAGTCTCCTCACTCTCAGCTGAGTATTCTTTTTATTTTAGACTCGCTACCTTCATTATAGCATGGCTATGTGTATTGTTTTCTTTAAAATATATTTTCCCCTAATAATAGTGGGTACCTCGGGAAGGTGGAAGATGGAGAGATGTTGGTAGGACTTAGATGGATGGAAAATGGGTGGGCATAAGATTTCACTGATTGTATATATGTGTGTATATATACATATATATATTTATCATTGTAAACATTTCAACGATGTGAATACATTATGTATTTAATTTTTTAAGTAAATTCAATTTAAGATGCTGTTTAATAAGCTCTTTAAAAATTCAGAAGTGCAGAACATCTCCAAAAATAACATTTTAGACAGGTTTCTTTTAGCTTATCCCCTCTGAATTTCTACAAAGGACCTATTGTAACAGATTTAGGTTGATTTATCTTTGTAACTTCAATCGTCTTCTGATATAGAATAGAGCTCAAGGGGGCCGGCCCCGTAGCTTAGTGGTTAAGGGCACCTGCTCTGCTACTGGTGGCCCGAGTTCCGATCCCGGGTGCACACCGACGCACAGCTTGTCCAGCCATGCTGAGGCGGCGTCCAACATACAGCAACTAGAAGGATGTGCAACTATGACATACAACTATCTACTGGGGCTTTGGAGAGAAAAAGGGGGAAAAAAAGGAGGAGGATTGGCAATAGATGTTAGCTCAGGGCCAGTCTTCCTCAACAAAAGGAGGAGGATTGGCATGGATGTTAGCTCAGGGCTGATCTTCCCCACAAAAAAAAAAAAAATAAAATAAATAAAAATAGAATAGAGCTCAAGGAAAATTTTTTGCTATGTCTCTTCCTGATGTATATGGTTGGAGAGCTCACATTTTCTTTTTGGTCATCTACATCTATGCTACTCAAAATGTGGTCCACAGGACAGTAGCATCTGCATTACCTGGGTGCTTTTTAGAAATGCCGAATCCTGAGCCCCATCTCAAGCCTGCTGAATCCGAACCTGCACTTTAACAAGATCCCTACGTGATTCAAATGGACATTAAAGTTTCAGAAGCACTGGTCTACATGAGATAGCAATTGCCATTTGGGCCAAAGTTAGTATCCTGAGACGGCAAGCTGAAAGGTACAGTAAAAAAACAAAATCATCCCTCTTATTAGGTATGACAAATTTAGGTGTGATATACAATTTTTCATTGCAAAGGGAGTCATGGTTGGCTTCCAAGCAGCCATAGTGGAGCTCGAATCTCTCTTGGTCACTCTATTAGATCAACAATGAAGATGATGATGGTGACAATAAATATACTAACAATATTTACAGTGATTAGATACCATACTAAATGCTTTACCTGTATTATTTTAATGTTCACAATAACCCTATCTATCCCCACCTATAGATTAGATAAATAATTAGTAGATAGTCCTTTCCAGCTTGTTTTTCTCTACTCCAGGGGTTGGAAACTATAAACTACATTTCCTAGACTCCCTTGCAGCTAGGGTGGAGGCACGCCACTCAGCTCCTTCTGCTCAAGACTTGGAGCCATAAGTGAACAACCTGCAGTGAAAGCCATCCTCTGGCAGATTGGATCTTCTGGTCCATATGTAGGTGGAGGTATCCGGTTCAGCTGGAGCAGCTATAATGGAGTATCTGGCATTTAGTTTCAAGGGCCTTAGGTACCAGGCTATGGATAGCTGTCTCAGTGGTGTTTTGGCTACAAAAGAACCACAGTGTTGTTGGGCAATTTTCCTGCCTGTGTTGTTTCTGAATACGTGGTATCCAAGAATGATTCACCACACCCTCTTTCCCCAGAGATTCTGGGAGCTGCTTAATATCTTTCAATAAATTCCTTTCCATTTATCTACCTAGAGTGGAGTCTATTGTTTGCCAGTAAGACCCTGGCTGGTACAGTAATTGAGGTCAGTTAAATCACTAAAAGCTAAAAAATGGTGGTACTAAATTAGGGCACTTGAGTATTCAGTTTTCCAGAGAAGAAGGTGACGTTTGGGATATTGTAAAGCAGAGACACGAGGTTAATATTTCCTAAAATAGCAATGATAAAGATGAAACTAGTGGCATTATATTAAAGGGAGCAATAATTTTTAAGATTAGTTTTGCTGCAATTCTGGAAATGTTCTATACCTAAAAACAAATGTGTCTGTATGGCCAAAGTCAAGTAGAGAACCAAAACAATTATTTAGGCAAGTCATGAAAGGAAGAAAGAGAGTAGGAAGGAAATAAGATTTCTTTAAATGCCCATTTTGTGCCAGGCACTAAATTGGGGGCTTCTATAAACATTACCAAGGGGATTGTAAAATAAGAATTATACAACTTATGATGGTTGGCAGACAATGGTGGCTGGTGCTCAGGCTGATCAAGAGCAGTAAGAATTTTGATTAAAATAGATATATTTGGAAGGAGGTCAGTTTTACTCCATTAAAAATACACTATAAACGTAATAAGCAATAATATATTATGAACTTTCTGGGGAAAAAATAGATGTTATATGAGTAAGTAATGCAGGTGGATAATCCCAGTTGCTTATTATTTACCAAAAGGCATGAATGACCAAGGTGGGGCCATGCAGAGAAGTCCTTCCTATCCTCCAGTCCCCATTTCTTGCTTACCATGATTGTCCACTTTCTGTTTTCAGCCTCTGGGAATACTAGTGATCGTGGAGAATAAAATACTTCATCGTCCACTTCTTCTGGCTTTCTGGGCAAGCAGTGTAAAAATGTCCAGTCAGAGGCAGCAACTTTAGCAGTCTAAAGAAGAGACGGGGATAAGACTGTGTTTTGACTGTTGTATGTGGCTATCACATCTGTCTTCTTCAATATTTAAAAACACATATGGGGCCGGCCCCGTGGCTTAGCAGTTAAGTGCGTGCGCTCTGCTACTGGCAGCCCGGGTTCGGATCCCGGGCGTGCACCGACGCACCACTTGTCCGGCCATGCTGAGGCCGCATCCCACATACAGCAACTAGAAGGAGGAGGAATTGCAATAGATGTTAGCTCAGAGCCAGTCTTCCTCAGCAAAAAGAGGAGGATTAGCATGGCTGTTAGCTCAGGGCTGATCTTTCTCACAAAAAAAAAAAAAACAAAAAAAAAAACCACATATGGCCTGGAGTCAGAGATCAATGCAAAGGGAGAGACAAAGGGGCAGAGTGAGCGTTTAAGCTTAAGGCACCCCGGGGAAATGTATATGGTACTTTCAACTTATGAAACTTTATAGTCATTTTTTTTGTTTGAGAGATCATCACTCTAAATTAAACCAATAACTCAGTTTTCTGATACTCTGTCTAGTGGGACAGTGGACATTTCAGTAAATAACTCTACTAGTGTAATATATAACTGATAGCAAAAGTCACCAATTACACCTCAATATATTTTAAAAGTTGCTTTTATGCGATTGCGTTATATTTTGAGGTTATCTTCAAATTGTGGTTTTTAGCACTTGAAGCATACTTCATCACTAGTTAAAACAATTTTGAAAAAGAGCACTGAGATAGGAGTACATTAAATAGGATTATGAGCACTATGCACTAGATGTTTCATTCTTAATGCAAATGTCCTAACAGTTTTAATTTTCTCCAACAGTTGGTTCCTGAAAGTTACATTTTCCCATCCATTTCCATTGTTCACTTACAGATTCAAAACTACATTCCCTCATAATTTCTTACCTCAAAATTACTACCTTTGTACTAAAATTTTGTTTTACCACCCACACTAATTCTACGTTCAGAACTTTTTGAGTTTCTAAAATACTGGCAAAGTGACATAGGAAAGGAATAAGGTTTGAACCAGTCATACATCAGTGAGATGACTGTTCTTCAAGCCTACAGTCCCAGCACCAGAAAAATGTCTAAGGTTGGTCAAGGTAAGTAGGAGGTAAACCACAGGGAATTTAAACTTTCTCCATGAAAATATTTGCCACGTATATCACAAGGGATTAGCCATAATATATGAATAACTCCTATAGCCAATAATAAAAAGGCAAAAAACAACAGAAAGTGGGCAAAGGATATGATAGTGATTTGTAGAAAAAGACATGGAAATGGCCAATAAACATGAAAAGACATTTAACTTCATTAGTAATCAGGGAAATATAAATTTTTAAAAGCATGAGAACAGATTTTAAGAAATTAAAAATATAAATAACAACTAAGAATGGAGAGAGTGTGGAGGGAGTATAAATTGTTTATCCTTTCTAGATAGGCAATTTAGCATTTCCCATATTTTAAAAAGTATATACCACTTCACCCAGAAATTCTTCTTGGGATCTATTCTCCAGTAATACTTGCACAAAGAAATACGTGTTATAAGAATGTTCATTGCAGCATTGTTTGTAATTGAGATAATTGGAAATAGCCTAATTTATCAACAGGAAACATTTTAAGTAAATTATGGTCCACTCATACTTTGGAATTCTATGCAGCTGTTAAAAAGAATGAAAAATATCTAAATGAATGGACAAGGGGCTGGCCCAGTGGTGTAGTGGTTAGGTTTGTGTAGTGGTTAAGTTCGCGTGCTCCACGGGTTTGGATCCCAGGCGTGGACCTACACACCACTCATCAAGACATGCTGTGGCGGCATCCCACATACAAAATAGAGGAAGATTGGCACAGATGTTAGCTCAGGGCCAATCTTCCTCAAGCGGAAAGAGGAAGATTGGCAACAGATGTTAGCTCAGGGCCAATCTTCCTCACCAAAATAAATAAACAAATGGAGAAATGGACAAGAAAATCTAAGATTTGTTAAGTGGGAAAAGTAAATCAGAACAATATGTCTAATATACCATTTATGATAAATCAATAGTTGTGTGTATCTGTAGGCATATGTAAATACACAGAAAAGGTCTGCAGAGAGACACATCAAATTGTTAAACAGTGGCCGCCTCTGGGAATAGTCATTGTTAAGGGGATGGGGCAAAGACGTTTTCATATTTTACTTTTGAAACTTCATTCTATTGACATGTATAAATAAGGAGCTTGTGTTTATTTATTACCTTATCAATAAAATATCTATTGTAATCACTTAAATCCTTTCTCCACCAACACAGATTATTTGCTCTGCTGACAAAAATCCCAATGTACACCTGAGTTTTAGGGTATTCCTCCAGAACAGTGATTCTCTAAATGTGACCCTGGAGCAGCAGCATTGCATCATCTGGGAAGTTGGTAAAATGCAGATTCTTGGGTCTCACCTCTGACCTACTGATTCAGAATCCCTGGGGGAGTAGAGTCCTGCCAACTATGTATTAACAACTCCTCCAGGCAATTCTAAAACATGCTCAAGATTGAGAAGCATTGCTTCATATTTAAATAGACATCAGATAAGATGGGATTCCCCTGGCAATGCCCTGGAGGCACTTAGCAAAACTAAACTGGATTTGAGAGTACTTAGAAAAGAGAGGCAAAGACTAACTAAAGAATATAATTATGGGGCTTTTCTTAGAGGAGAAATCAGAACAAATTGTGTGCAATAGAAGTAACCTAACATCCTAAAGACACGAAGGGTAAAGCATTCTGATGCCTCCATTGCTGTAAGAGGAAAAAGCTTGCTTCTCTCTTCCGCCTCAGTTTCAAATTCCTTGAGCCAGGACAAAAGTGTCTTTCCAAAGGACATAGCTAATCTTCAGGAGGAGAGAAATCCCTGAGGGATACAGTCAGGGAGTCCTTTATAGAGAATGGAAGGACAGTCTGCTCTCCCCAAAGTGAATGAGTGATTAGATGCTTCTGGCCTTTACAAATGGAATTAATGAACCTTCAGAGAGGCATCAATTTGTACCTTCATTGTAACCTGGTAACCTTGGAAATCCTGGAGCCGCCTTTTCTTCTCCTCTTCTTGTCCCATGCTTATCCAAGTGTCTGTAATTAATACATTGCCTCCACGAGCCGCTTCCAATGGATCATTCGTCAGCGACAGCTGGGTATCATTCTGGCATACATAAGCATGCAGGTTAAACAACTTCATGGGACAGAGAAAGGCAATTATAACTTTACATACAAATAGCATACCTCCTTGGCATACTGCTCTGCCAACTTGGTTATACTAGGATCTGGCTCATAACCCTGCAGGGGGAAGAATTTAACTGTTATTTAGGCAAATTTATTACATATGCTTTCTTATATATGCATTATTTTCCTTTCAACAACATTCCTGCTCTCCTTCCCTTTTTTAAGTTGTAGTCCAACCATGTTCAGTAGAATATAAAATTTACATCTAGAACTTCAAAACTTAATAGTGCTTTTTAGAATTTAAAAAGGTAACCAATTGCCCCATTTTTCTTTTAAAATCTTTGATCTCTTTAGTCACAAAGACAAACAGGGTGTGGTGCTTTCTAGCTGTTGGTAGAAACACCTCTTCTTGTTCCTCTAAGAGCTTAAGAGGATTATATACATAATTCTACAACCTAATGCATTTTTGTCTCAGAATTTTCTCACGAGCTTTTTCTTTTTAATGCTTTTTTATCTGAAATGCTTTTCCCCACCCACTCCATGTGAACAACACTTTCAGGTCTTGGCATTTCCTCCTCAGAAAAACCTTCCCTGACCACCCCAGCTAAATACTAACAGTCCTCATGCACACATCTTATTCTTTTGCACACACCAGCAAGTGTTGTGAGTGCAGGGTGCTTGCTTTGAAATGGCATTTACACAGCAAGTATACTGTTTTTGCTAAAATATATTTGTTTGGGATGCTTTGGTGAGGGCAAGGTCGGGACTTGGGTGAGGCAAGCGAGGTGCCTAGGGCAGAAAACCTAAGGAGGCGCTCACTGTCAGAGTCATGCAAGCACAAATTTTGCACCATAGGCGCCTTGCTTGCTCATCCTAGTCTCAACTCTAGGTGAGGCATTATGGGAGCAGCTAAAGCCCGCCAAGCTATTCCAGACCCCACAGGCAGTCCCTCTGCCTCCATCCTCACCCTCCAATCTGTTCCATGCACAGCAGCAAGAATTGTTTTCTCTGAAGCCTTCAATGTTTACTACTTGTTTCTTTAGTCGAAGCTAATTAAGAGTAGCAAGGCTCCCCACCGACATCCCCTGCTTCTGTCTCTTTTAATTCTTCTCAACATCTTGCTGAAGGAAAGCCAATCTTATTACCATCCCTGTACATGTCTTGCCCTTTTCTGCTATCACAGCCTTTCACCCTTGAACACCTCCCCCTCTCTCCCCTCCTGGGTGTCTTCATTGGAACATGTCAGCTCCTCCTTTGTCAAAACTCTAGCCCAGCCTCACCTCCAGACCCTCCATATGGAAGTCTTGTCAGTCCAAACACTGTAATTATTCTCACCTTCCTCCATCCTTCTCATTGTCCTGAAATCTTAGCATTTATTATGAGTTAGTTTTTATAAATTCTCAGTAGGGCATTGTGGTGGACACTGTGATGTGCCACCCAGATCCCCCTTCATGAATAAACGATTTATTCCCCCAGCTGCTGGGCGTGCTGCCGGAAGATGGCTTTCAGCTGTCAGCCCTCTATGAGCACTGTCTCAGCTGCAGAGAGACCACTCCCCGAAGGTCACGTACCCTTCCAGAGTGACCTACATTTAATGACTGATTGTCAGGAGAGTATGAAAACCTGATTCCCTCCTCCCAACTTGGGACAGGTCTGAATGGCCATCTCAGATCTAGAACTCTCCACAAGGTCAGCCGAGGCTGTTGTTGGGCCTGCATCACAGCTCAGCTTCTCCCTCTGCCCACTCCTGCTTCGGTCCTCTCCCTTCCACAGGTGTTGATACCAAAGACATGGCTCAATAAACATCCTGCACGCTAAACCCTGTCTCAGAGTCTGATTCTCAGGAAACTCAACCCGCAACAGGCATGCTCAGGTTTATTCATTTAATAATTGTGTTTATTTGCAGATGATTGTCTACCATAGTTCCTTTTCTCATTACACAATTCTTAAGGAAAGAAACTACTCAGATGTTGATGATGATGGCCACAGACATTTTAGCACCTTTACCACCCTCGAATAGCCATAAATTCTGGAGCTTTGTTCATTGGGATTTGGGAAAGGTAATTAATAAAGGCTTGCTAATTTAGTAACTAATGTTGTGACTGTTCATACTGGTAAACATAAATGCAGAGACTTGGCTATTACCTCATGGGCTTCCTGCCCTGAAAATTTAACCTTCCCTTTGGGGAGCAGGTTTTATACTCCCTAAGTATAATCATTCCTAGAGAAAGATCAATACATACTTAGAGAACCAACAGAGAGGTTTGGAAATTAGAAAATCACCCAACCTTGCATGCACTGGGCTGTGATTGAGAATACAAAGAGGAATTTTTTACTCACTGCTCAGCTTTCAATACTAAATCACTCATTGGCTTTTACATAAATCTTAAAACCAGACAAATAAGGTGATTAACAAACCCTGTGCAGTCTAAATATTCACTTAGAACAATGCTAAAATTATTACCATCAATAGTTTATGGAGCAATTTTACAATCAAGGACAAAATTATGTTTTCTTGAACGTGTAAGTTATTCTTGGGTAAAGAATGGGGAAATAGATTAATTATGGCCTGAACCTTTTCAGTGCTTCTTAAATTTACAATAAATCTCCTAGCTTTATCTTTAAATAGGTTTACTTATAAATTGATGGAACAACTTCTGCACTATCAGACTTTCCAGAAGACTTTTTAAAACTCTTACTCCCACCAAGGTTTAACCAGGTTTTAATACTCTTTATCATTTAAATGAGTTTCTGCATAAGAACAATAGTGAAATTACTCTGTAATATTGGAGTTTTTTTCCTTTGATGTTAATAAAACATCTCTGACATGCAATAAAATGTTTAAATCATATATTTCTCCAACAGAATAAAGCCTTACCAAAAACACCGTATAGCAGGGAATAATTATTGTTAATGTATATTTTATCTGTAAAAACTAAATGCAATAATAGTTTGCATTAATACAGAGCCTTTCTTCAAACTAGCTTTGTAGTGAGAGTGTGCTGACTCTTCCCGTAAAGTGAAAAAGAAGCGCCTTAAGCACATGTCAGATCTGATGCTTTATTTCGGTACATGCTAAATGAAGGAGAATTATCTGTTGTAAGAGTTCTCTCTCTGAGTCCCCAAAGTCTACTATAATAGGGTGGCTTCCAATATATGCTGTTGCCTATGCCTGCCATTTCTTCTATGGCAAGTGTATTACATAGAACAGTATCCTCCAAAAATGCATTCCCAACAAGAACCTCAGATTGTGACCTTATTTAGAAGTAGGGTCTTTACAGATGTAATTAGTTAAGATGAGGTCATACTGGATTAGGGTGGTCCTAAATTTAATATGACTCGTGTCCTCATAAGAAGAGGGACATTTGTACAGAGAAACACGGACATAAAGGGAAGAAGATGGAGGCCGAGATTGGAGTGACGCAGCCACAAGGCAAGGAACACCTGGAGCTACCAGAAGTGGGAAGAGACAAGTAAGGATCCTCCCCTAGAGGCTTCAGAGGGAATGTGGCCCTGCCAACACCTTGGTTTTGAACTTCTAGTCTCCAGAACTGTGAAACAATAAATTTCTGTTGTTTTAAGCCACCCAGTTGGTGGTAATTTGTTATGGCAGCTCTTGCAAACTAAGGAAGCAGGGTGCATTGACTCAAACTGGTTCAGCAAGAACACTAGGGAAAAGCATTTTGTTTGGTTTTGTTTTGGCAGGATGCAGCAGACAATGCTGGTGCTCTACCCAGATGCCATCAGAGGATCTCGTTTTACAGCTTTTGCTCCCTCTCCCCATTTCAGTGTGCTTTTAACACCTAGCACTTGCAGCTCTGCTTCCAGAAGACTGCCCTCTGGCTACCCGGCTGCTTTCCCTGCCAAAAGTGCCAGAGGATTTACCACCCCCCTCCGCTTTCTGCCCTTGACCAATAACCGGTTCAAAGGATGAAAGCCCACCTTCCTTGCCTCAGGTTGGGACAACTCTGGGGCATAACTTACACTCCAGAGCTCATCTGTGGGATCACGCTGAAAATCCCTGCTGTGGGACTGTTCCTGACATGGCACTAGGGTGACCAAATCATCCTGGTTTGCCTGGGATTCTCCTAGTTTTAGCACTGATAGTCCCATGTACCCGGAAATCCCTCAGTCCCGGGCAAACCAGGATGAGTTTGTACTATAAATGGCACCCTTGCTTAGATTCTTCCCTTTCTCTGTCCTGCTCCCCCTATTCCCCTATAGGTCTCCTTTTGGAGTACTTCTTTAATAAATCACTTGTACACAAATCCTCATGGGGGGGTCCTCTTTGTGGGGGAACCTGGCCCAAGACGTTGGTAGGGTGGCAGGTGAAGAGTGCATGAGAGCCTCAGGATTTGGGTATTCGCTATTGGAGAAATTCATCTACTGATCCACATTGTGTAATTCATGTTCCCAGTGATTGGCAAATAAACATCTCAAACTCAAGAAGTAGAAGCAGGGAGGAATTTTTAGGCCTCATGTATTCACCTCTGGATGCCTTAGTGTATCAGAATGAACCACAGCAGTGACTACTGAGATAAGAGTAAACACATGCTTGGTCAGAAACACACTGGTGCACAATAATTGTGAATAGTCGTCTCTTAGTGAGATGGTCACTTCTATCTTTTACTTTGTTTCTGAAACGGTTTCTATTTAGGGGACTTTTCTCTTCAAAAGACTCCTGATAGGATATTAGTAGCCAATGAGAAACATAAAGGGGGAAACAATTCAGTAGAGATGGGATATTTAAAAGATTCTGTGCGGATCCTTCAGGACTGATTTGTGTTTGAGTCTCTTGTAGGGTTTATTTTTATCCTCTAAAAGGCCTATTTATTTTGTATGAGCCTGGGGTTATCTTAACTTAGGGCTTCTCCTAGGGGGATCTGCACTTGTTTATTTTGATGTATTTATTGATGGATTTATGTTATTATGTAGGTAAAACATTTACATCTTAAGAAATTCAAACCATATAAAAGTATATACCATGAAAATAAAGTCTCCCTCCTATCTCTATCCTTGAACTTCCCAGTTCTCCTTCTCAGAGGCAACAGCTATTACCAGTTTCTTGTGTATCAAAGGGTTACTTTGGACCTATGAAAGAAGTCATACTTCTTGTACGTTCTGTGAGAGATTAGCAGGGTAGGAAGTATGCAGGAGTCATCTTCACAGCCACGTGGGACTCGGATTCAAAAAGCTGAAGAGCCCCTGGAGTTGAGTTTTGAAACACTAAGCTGGTGTAGATACCATCACTGTGACCTTCACATTAGATTGACATTTTTCTACCAAATTGTGGTATTAGAAAAATGACAGCATCCTCCCCATACCTTGGGAATTCTATGCTGTCTGGATTTCATTGCTTTTTTCACTTTTGTGGTAGCAATGCACAAGGATGCCAGTCATCATAATGGCTGGTTTTAGGGCATTCAAAGGGATAATTCAGACATGCTTTTAACACAGACTCACATTAGATTGACATTTTTCTACCAAATTGTGGTATTAGAAAAATGACAGCATCCTCCCCCTACCTTGGGAATTCTATGCTGTGTGGATTTCATTGCTTTTTTCACCTTTGCGGTAGCAATGCACAAGGATGCCAGTCATCATAATGGCTGGTTTCAGGACATTCAAAGGGATAATTCAGACATGCTTTTAACACAGACTCACAGGATGAAGGCATCAGCCAAGACTCTTTCTTATTGTAGAGGGGGGAAATTGGGCACGCAAGAGGCCAGATAGCTATAATAGTAGGGCTGGTAACATAACCTAAATTTTGTGGCTTCACCTGTGCTCTCCTTGAATGGAAGAGAGGTTTTTTTTCACTGGGTAGTTGCTTCTGGGGATGATTTTAGAGGGGGTTAGTCTCAAGGCAGAAAGTTTCCCTACCTTTGGAGTAGCCACCTGAAGGTGCATTCCGAATTTTGCTGCACTCATCATGATGGAATGCAGGATGTTGTTCCCATCCCCAATCCAGCTGAGGGTAAGGCCTGTCAGAGAGCCATAGTGTTCCTAAAAGACAAGGGATGGACATTACATCCGGGAGGAAGTCCATTTATGTGAAACAATTATTAGGGTTAAAATAAAGGAAACAGTCTTCCCTCAATTCTAATGCTTTGTTGGAATGCACTACTGGGTTTTTTTGCATTATCCAGAGCAATTCAATAGCATGAATGTACAATAAAAAAATAGCACAATGTCATAATGTCTTAAACCAAGACATCATATGAACTCATACAGAGATTCATATTTTCATACATTTCAAGCCTGAATTTTTGTTGTATTCATTCATTTATTCAACAAATTGAGCACCATCGCTGTCCAGACACTTTCTTTGGCCCTAGGAGATATAACAATGAACAAAGGAGACAAAAAATCACTGCCTTTATGGAGCTTACATTCACTGGTTTTAAGAAAGGTGAAATACAATGCACCTAGAACAGTGTAGCATGGTAGTTGAGTATGTTCTCATTTATATAAAGTTGAAAAACTTGCCCATTAATACTCTTGGTTGTTTATGGATATAGACATGTATAGTTAAAGTATAAACACATGCCTGGGAAGTATAAATTCAAACATCAGGATAATAATTTCTTTGTGGGGTGGGAGGAAATGGGATCAAGGAGAGTTACACAGTGAACTTCAACTCTATCTGTAATATTTTATTTAAAAACAAAAAATTCTAAAGTAAGGTTTGACAACTGTGTATAGGGCACATAGGTGTTTGTTTTGTTTTTCTTGAAGTGTTTATAGGTTTCATATATTTTATATATTTATAAAGATAAATATATATATATTTAAATCTCTTTAAAAACACTCTTGACTTTATAAAGATAAAATTAAAAAAGAGAAAGGCTAAGTAATTTGGAGATTACAGAACTACTAGGTGGCTAAACTAGGATTTAAATTCAGGTCCATCTGATTTAGATTCCATGCTCTTAATAAGCTGCTCTTTATTCATTCAACTCCTACTTTGAATATTTCCTATATAAAGGCATTGCACCAGGTCCTGCAGGGGACAATATGATGAATAGGACATTTCACTGTCCCTGAATGAATTTATAATCTAGTAATGATAAAGCCCCGGGGGGAGCATTAAATGATCTGGTGCATATGTAAAGCCACACCCGCAAACAGCCACTTGGCATCTAACATCATTGTATCATCTTCTCTGCATGAATCTTATCCTTATCACCAAAGAGTTTCATTTTGAATTTAACCTCACATTTATATATGTGTAGCTTATTCAAATGAGGAGGAATATGGACCTATCCAGTTTGCCCGTCTCCCCAGAATAGTCCATAGACACAGAAACCATGGTTGTGAGGATTCCCAGTAGCAAGACCATGTACATTGGCTGTGGCAAACCAAACAAGATGAATCTTTCAAAGTTATTCAAGTTCCTAATTTTGGGGGACATGGCTAAATTTGGGCCTCAATTCTATAAATTCTGCATGTTCTTTTTTGTGTGTGTGAGGAAGATCAGCCCTGAGCTAACATCTGCCGCCAATCCTCCTCTTTTTTTTTTTTTTTCCTGCTGAGGAAGTCTGGCCCTGGGCCAACATCCGTGCCCATCTTCCTCTACTTTATATGGGACACCGCCACAGCATGGCTTGACAAGCAGTGCATCAGTACATGCCCGGGATCCGAACCCCAGGCCGCCACAGCGGCGTGCACGCACTTAACCGCTACGCCACTGGCCTGGCCCCAAATTCTGCATGTTCTTAACTCCAGTCTTAAACAATCAGTTTATTAAAATTATTGAAAATGGCCTGTTTCTCAGAAGGTGATTTGGTAATTGGCCATTTTGAATATTCAGAGCACATTCCACCAGTCTTCACTCCCAAGCCACAGAGCCTGATATATGTAGGATTACATAAAGCTTTTGCATTCTGTATGCTCCAGCATTCCCTATTGATCCATTGTGTTAAATATGGCACCAAGAAGCAAAGTGATTGAAAGGACAGGGGATGAGAGAGGGGCTAAAAGAGGTTGGGTATAGAGTTGAGAACAGAAGGATCTTATAATCTGTTTTTAACAATGCCCTGTCTTCCTTGAATATCTAATATGCACATATATGCTATAATTCTTTGCCAAGATGATATTGAAAAACAAAACACCAATACCTTGATTTGAATGGTTCCATTTAGAGCTACTCAGGAAGTATTTATTGATTTTGCTCTTGTGTAAGGCAAAGAAATAAGCCAACCTGGAGCGTGAGGTAATCAGCCAGGATCTGGATTGGATGGTACAAATCTGATAGCCCGTTGATGATTGGGATGGATGCTTCTTTAGCCAAGATGTCCAGATCTGATTGTTTATACACTCGAGCCAACACTGCATCTGTCATGCTAGACAACACACTGCAGCCAACCAAGAAAAGATAATCTAAGTTAATTATGCTTAATAATTCCTTCTTTAATACAAGATCTTAAACAGTAATAAGAAATGCTAATAAACTAAAATTTTTACTAAGTTAGAACTACCTATCAACATGACAGATTTAAAAGCTAATATTAAAAATATAGTCATTACAGAAGCCGGATATTGTTCTACTGCTGTCTTATCCAGTGACCACTGATTTTACTATTTTTTATAGAGATAAGGCATCGATTGTGGGCCTAGCAGTCATGCTGATGAATTATAATTAAGTGGCAGTTGGTTAAGTTAAAATGGACAAGACCAAAAACAAGATATACAGAGAAACATTAATGACCTGGCATGTGGCTAATTTTCCTTTGCATCTTCCCACAGACAAATATACAAAATATACATTTTCACTATAGAGTTGAAAGTACCAATGTGGCAGCCATGGAGGTGCATGCACAGATTGCCTTCCAAGAGAGAACCTTCTGGGAGGAGTGCTATTAGCTGACAGACCCCAGCTGCTATACGTTTGGGATCAGCTGCATTGTTCCCACTGAGGCCACACTCTCCCCAGGCTGCTGCCATCAATGACTGAATGTGTTGGGGGGTTCCACAGCTGGGCCATTCTGCCTGAAGTGGGACTTCTCTGATGGGTGGTCTTTGCTCTGGGGATCCCCATCAGCCTGGCTGAGACTTGCTTAGAGCTCTGCTGCAGTCTGAGGTTCTTTCTACCCTAATCTTTCCTTCCTCCTCTCCTTTCACTGGGGTCAGACCTGCATTGTGGTCTGAAGGCTCTTCCTGCCTACTCTTGCTTCCTCTCTCCTTAATCCTTCACAGTTGTTTCCCCCAATACACCTCTTGCGTGTCTAATTCCATCTTGGAGTCTGCTTCTCAGTGAACTTGAAGTGACTCAGCCAGCAATGAGCTCTTTCAGGGGCTGAGCCTGAGAAGGCGTTTGGCCTTTGTCCCTGCACTCTGCATAGCTATCAGCATCTCTGAAAAAGACAGGAAGTGCTCAACACCATACAACATAAAAAATCCACCAAGAAAACAAGACAAATCAAATCATGGCCACGAATTCAAATGACACACAGAAGGACGGAGAGTATTATTTGCATTTTATAGCTGAAGGACCTAAGACACAGAGAGGTTAAGTAACTTGCTCCAGATCACACAGCTAATTAAGTTGGAGGAGCTTATATTCAATTCAAAGTCAGTTTAACTCAAAAGCCCATGTTCTTACCATTATAACACATTGCCTCAAATTTGCAGATGCTAAAAATCTGGAAGGAGAGCCTAGGATCCAGATTTTAAGTTCTCTCCATGTGTCAGAGTGATAGTGGCCCATCAGCTAAAGCTTCAGCTTTACAAAAATAGCAAGGATGGCCTTTTGTTTAAATCTTGGTTTCTTCTTATAATTTAAAGGGAAACCCCCACAACAGAGGCTTCTAACCATTTCAGTTTTAAGGAGCTCTTTTTAATGGCAAAAAAGTTTGGAAAGCCTCTCATGATAGTAGTTATATTAAATATATAGTCATGATTACAAGGTATCCAGTTAGTCTTGACTTCTAATTCTGGATCTATAACTTACTAGTTGTGTGACCTTGGACATGTTATTTAATTTCTCTATGACTTAGTTTCTTTATCTGTAAAACAGTAATAACAATATCTATCCCATTGGGTTATTGTGAGGATTATATGAGATAACCTATATAAAATGCATGGCATGATGCCTTGTTCATAGTAAGAGATAAAGTAGTAGATATTACTACCATGTCAAAAGAGAATGCATAAAAACTAAAGCTAGTATGTATTCAGTAAGATCTTCATAAATTTGTATTTTAATCATCATATATATTTGGAAAATGAGTCCCTCTTGTATGTCTGAGACATATTATTCACTCAGTCTATAGAAAACTGTTGGTGTTTATAAAATTCAAGGACCACTAAAAAAACTCCTTGACCCCAGGGACTAGAGGATCAAAGATTGAAAACCATATTTCTATAACAGTATTTTCTAGACTCAGATTTTTTTCAAATTTTCATAGATTTCTCATACTCATAGTTCTCAGATTTCGTGGATCAGCAAAATTTCCAAAAAACATATGGAGATCAACGTAAGATTCCCAACTTTCTGTTTAGCAAATTAAGGGCATGAGAAATAAGCAAATAAATACATATAATATGTTAATATGTTTATTTAATAAAAGAAAGGACATTTTAACACCAAAAAAGATGTGAATGACCTAATCTCAAAGAATGATCCTTGAAACTGAATTAATTTAACTTTATGAAATTCACTATATTGTCTTTATTTTCCTTATTTTACCACTTCTGATGAAAAGTTCTCATGGCAGGGCATCAGTGGAGAAGTCAAGATTTAGAAACCAGTGCTCTGAACTATCTTATCACATTGTATATATTGTAGCATGAAAGAGGTGAATAAGAGAGCCACGTTAGAGTTTCTCTTACAAAACAGGTGATGTTTGATGGTTGACTAAGACAGGGGTTTTCAATTTCTTTGTGTGTGTGTGAGGAAGACTGGCCCTGAGCTAACATCTGTGCCCATCTTCCTCTATTTTGTATGTGGGATGCCGCCACAGCATGGCTTGATAAGCAGTATGTGTGTCTGCCCCCGGGATCTGAACCCACAAACCCTGGGCCACCGAAGCAGAGTGCGCAAACTTAACCACTATGCCACTGAGCCGGCCCCTAGGGGTTTTCAAATTTTGCTGCACCAAAAGTTACCTGGAGAGTTTTTAAAACTCGTGATGCCTAGGCCATAATCTCTAACAATTACATCAAAAAATAGAATCTTTAGGGGTGAGACCTAGGGATCAGTAATTTTAAAAACTTTCCAGGAGATTCCAATGTGCAGTCAAGGTTGAGAACCAAAGCTAGCACCTCGTCCTCAGATCAATAGCATCAGCATCACCTGGGAGCTTGTTAGAACTGCAGAATCAAAGACCCCACCTGGATTTACTGACTCAGATTCTGCATTTTTAACAAGGTTTCCAGGTGATTTATTTGCATATTAAAGTTTGAGACTCCTAATAAAGAGGGAATTGAGGCCACCATATATATATATTTTTGTGTGTGTGTGTGAGGAAGATCAGCCCTGAGCTAACATCCATGCCAATCTCCCTCCTTTTGCTGAGGAAGACCGGCTCTGAGCTAATATCTATTGCCAATCCTCCTCCTTTTTTTTCCTTCCCCAAAGCCCCAGTAGATAGTTGTATGTCATAGTTGCACATCCTTCTAGTTGCTGTATGTGGGACGAGGCCTCAGCATGGCCGAAGTAGCGGTGCGTCGGTGCGCGCCTGGGATCCTAACCCGGGCCGCCAGTAGTGGAGCGCACGCACTTAACTGCTAAGCCACGGGGCCGGAGGCCACCATATTTTTGAAAGTACCATCCATTCTTTTCTTAGAACCCTAACCAGGCCAAAAAAAAAAAAGGAAAATCAAGAAATAGCAGCCCACAAAGACAGAGGACTTTGTCCACAATATCATTGGCAGGAAGTGCTTTCTAGTTCAATTGAAGGAAAAAGGCATCTCAAATCCTGAGAATGAATAATCCACTCCCTTCCATTAAGGCCCCTATCATTAGAGTAACCAGCTACCCTGACCTATCTGATGCCCTAAGGCAATGGTTCCCAAACTTGGGTGTATATCAGAACTAAGTGAAGAACTAATAAACTGCAGAGGCCCAAGCTCCTGAAATAGGGTAGAATCTGGGTCATTGTACTTTTACCAAGTTTTCCGAGTAACTCAGATAACTTTTCAAAGTTTGAGAACCACTGTCCTAAGGCATAGGCTATTTATGTCAAGAGAATTTTAAATCTTCTCCCCTTTCTTCGAGATCTTAATTCAAATTCCTTTCCCAGTACAGATATACTGATGTGTCATACTGTAGAAAGCAGGCTTTTAACTCTATCATGGGAAAGTAACTTAGATGGAGGTTTTTGCTGTTAGTGCTATCAAGTCGATTCCTATTCCTAGCGACCCTGCGTACAGCAGAGCGGAACCCTGCCCAGGCTTTTTGCGTCATCCTCTCATCTTCTGGCACTGTTTCAGACAATGCTCTGCTGCTATTCATAGGGTTTTCATGGTCAGTTTTTTTGGAAGCGGGTGGCCAGTTCTTTCTTCCTAGTCTGTCTGAAAGCTGTCCACTATGTGTGACCCCGGTGCTATTTCAAATCCTGATGGCATCACTTTCAGCATCACAGTAACAGGAAGCTCCCACAGTATGACAACCAACAGACAGGTGGTGTGGTTCCCTGACCCGGAAACAACACCAGGCCATGGCAGTAAGAGCGCCGAATCTTAACCACTAGATCACCAGGGCTGGCTTAGATGGAGGTAGATATCCCAATAAGGTCTATAATTATAATCAATTATCAATTCCCTATTTCAGGAGAATTGGTTGATTTTATGATACCAAGAATCCTATGAGAGAGAGGTAGAGGGGTTTGACCCCAAAGGACTTCTTTAAATATGTATCACTTCCTAAAGTGTGTACAGATAGGATAAAAAATCTGGATTAACCATTGCAGTTGGCCTTCTGCAATCTCATAGAAAAACAGATCTGACTTCTATTGTAGCCTCTCAAGTAATTTTAGGGAGCTAGGACCATGCACTGCCAACTTCTTACGGTTTTCATGAACTTTACAACATGTTGTTGAGTTTTGCTAGATTTAGCGTGTATCACATATAAACGTAATCTTAACCTCATAGATGAGGAAACCAAGGCCTTTGAAAACCTTGAAATAATTAGAGCAAAGTTAGGAAAGAATAAAGAAAGATAAAGCTGAAAGAGGGAAACACTAGGGGAGCAAATGGAGAAGTGAATGCCCTATACACATGAGCTTTTCAGAAAGATTGAAAAAGGGCACTTGTTGTGGTTCCCTCCCCTGAATAATCCCAAGAGCTCTTGAAGCAAAGCAGTCAAAAGGCAAGCGTGCATTTACTTGCCCTGTTTATAGTGTGGAGCTGGTAT